AAAATATAAATAATAATAACCCTAATCATGATACTAGAAACAAGAATAAAAATAAGAGTAATTAAGTGATTAATTACTCACTTTTCGCGTTTCCTTGAATTGCTACATCATGAATAAACTGTTAGTAACTTCAATAAAAAAATATAAATCAAATTGAAAATTAAATTAAATAAAGATAGATTTGATTTGGTCCAAACCCTCAGTTAATTATACCTTTCACGCCTTGGTTTAAGTATAGAACTTTGGGTATTGTATAGACTCCTTGGAGTGCTTAAGGGAAGAATAATGGAAGAATAGGGAGGCTAGTGTTTATGTTAAAGAGGGAGAAAGAATGATTTGATGATCAAGCTTGTTGATGATTGAAAAAGGGGTGATATGACCTCTATTTATAGGGAAAAAAGAGGGTCGAAGAATCAAGAAAAGATCGAGTTCGAACCGGATTAAAACTCTTGCGACAGACAACAGTTTTTGCGGTTTTTGTTTTTATCATATCTTTTGATCCAGAAATTGGATTAAGTTAAATAAGATATAGTTGGAAATATCTTGAATTCTAATTTCCAAACCAATTAGAACCAGATTAAAATATTTTATAGAATAAAAGATATGGCCGAAATAGTGAGACAGTGTCAGTTTTGGATAAAGTTTGACTTTTTATTCATATCTTTTCCGTTATGGCTCGGAATTGATATTATAATATATCATTGGAAATATAATTTCAAGGGCTATCCAACCATATAAAATTTGGATAAAAACTATGAGGCAAGAAAATAATATCTGTCCATCTTTGAACGTCTTTCAATTCGGATAGATTTAGGATTTTCAAAAAGAAAAGTTTTATTCAATATTAAACTCTTTAATCTTATCGTTTCAAAAAGGATAATTAAGATCTTTTAGAAACTTCTATAAGCTTCTAATTAATCCTAATTGGTTTAGGAATGGGATCAAATCATTTGGACCCTCCACATGATCATTGGGTCGTAGGTAAGGTGGGCTTAGGTTCGGTTTGGGCTCAGTTTGATATTTTGGCCATAACTTATTCGTTATAACTCGGATTTGGGCTTATAATATATCGTTGGAAATATGTTTTCAAACCCATCCAATTATTAAATCATTGGACCCTGATTATGGACCAAAATAAACTGGATTAAACGTCTTTATAAAAAGGACACGAAATGAATGATTTTAAAGGACACGAAATGAATTATTTTTGGTTTAAAGGCACGAAAAGAGGAAAATAAGTTATGGTTTGGGGAATTTGGCTAGGAATTGGGTTGTTTTATGAAATGGAAATATGTATTTAAGCACTCCAAGATTAAATACTCAACCCGACCAATAATGGAGGTGAAAGGTTGTTCATTATCGGGTTTGGTTTTGGGGAGACATTTTTAGGTGTCTACAGGTGGCGACTCCTCGTAGGGTGCCGATTTAAGTAGACTATGATAGTCTAGTAGTAGTTTCATTGTAGTTTGTTTTCTTTTCTTGTTTTCCTTTTCTGCTTTTTTTTTTAGTCTCTTTGTTTTTCTCTTCCTGTAATGGGGCTTGCCCCTCGGCTTCACCAAAAAAAAAAAAACAATAGCTACAATTTTATTGTAGCCATTAAATACAAGAGAAATGTTCAACTCATTTTCATCCATAATGGACAACTCATTTTCTTTAGCCCATCTACTGATTAATAAATCCTAAATTATAACAAAGTGTATTCTCTAGAATGATCCTAAGGGTTTCAGGTGTTTTTTAAATCCAACAAAGTAACATAAGAGAAGATCAAGGAGAAAAAAAATGTACATGACACATATCAATTAATTGACATTATAAATCCATTTACTTACACGAACGAAACAAAACTACGTGCTCAGTTGTAGTTCATACCACTTTTGAAAGCTCTTTAAAAAACATCTTACTAACCCACAACAAGGTAGAATTATCACAAATGTAGGATAAATACCAACTTACTCCCATTTTCTTTGCACTATTTTCAACAATATATGTTACTAGACAACTGATTTTCTCAAAATAATACTTCTTTTATTCTTTTTTACTTGGTTCGCTTTAACTTTTACACTATTCATCACTCCATGGGCGGACCTTTGCTCAGCCCCTTATTTTTTCTAAGTTGTTGGTTATAACTTATAAGTAATAAAATGTCTTATAATCACATTTAAAAAGTTATGACATAGTGGTTAGTATTGTTATTTTTGAGTAAAAGGTAGGAGGATCAAACCTTGGGCCCCAAACTTTTTGGCCCAAGATCTGCCACTAAACCACCCTACCTATGCGTCTTTTACGAATAATATGTAACGAAAAACATAGTCATGTGGGATATTTTTGAATTCATCTCAATAAATATTATCATAATATATGAATTTTATAATTTTTATTTATAGAGATTTAAAATTATTGATCGTTAAAGTTTTACATTAGCAAACATGATAAAAGAAATAGGTCAAAAAAAAAAGAACAGATGACGTATATATTTATAGGGCTAGGCCCATAAAGAGAAAGAAACAACACATCAAAATAAAAAAGACAACAAGAAAACAACAAAATAAAAACTCTAAACTTCAAGCTAATACTGCTAGAAGCCTGGAACAGTTCGAGCCACAGCACCCTACCCCACCCCAATCCTCCAATAAAACTGCACAAATATCCTCCAGAGCCGCTTGAAGCATAACTAGCTTAGGTGATGAACCAACTCCAAAATTTGCCAACCAATCAGTTGCTCTTTACAATATATATATATATATATATATATATATATATATATATATATATATATATATATATATATATATATATATATATATACTTCTTCCGTTTTTTTATTATTGCACCATAAGAGTTTGGTGCAAATATTTTGGTAGTGGAAAAAAGTAAGAGAGAGAAAGGTAAAAATACAAAATTGTCCATGTGACATATTGATAAACTAAAAAATAAGTGTGAAAAAGCAAGGGTATGTTGGGTATTTGTAGTGTGAACACAAATAATTTTTTTCCTAAAGAGGAAATGGTGCAATATTTGTGAAACTTCCTAAAAAGGCAAGTGGTGCAATAATAAAATAACGGAGGAAGTATATTTATGATGGGAATTTGATGACTCAAAACCAGGGAGGTTAACCACAACAAAATGTGTTGCCTCTCAACCCTCAAGGCTCTCTTTAATTTTCTTCTCAAAGTGACTCTTTCTTGCAATTCCATAAATTAGAAAGCACACATAGTAGTTGTTGGTGAGACTTAGTCAAAAATTGCAATTACCATTTCTTTTAAAAAAAATCTTTAGCTACCATACCAAATACCAACCAAAGAAAGTAGTGGTGTGAGGGCCAAACAAAGCAATTGGTACACCAAAGTTTTAGGGGGCCACTCAAATGTCATGACTAGAGCCCATTTGATGCCTATTGCTATAACTTGCTCGTATGGAACAGCAAAAGCTTACAAGCATTGCTTTCATGTCAAAATGAAAGAAAGTTTCCAGGGTTGATATCATATCATCAAGTCAATTGTGAGTTGATTAATGATTATTAATACTCCTTCCGTTATACCTGAGACATTGGAGTGTACACATAGTTTAACAAAACTATAAGTGTGTCTATTTACAATATTTGTTTATTGTATATTTGTATAAAATAAACTTTTTTGTAATTTTGTATTACAAGAAAGCAACAAGTGGGATGTGAATGGGGTTGGTGAGGAGAGAGAAAATTTGGGAATATTTTTTTCAATTAAAGGTCTTTTTACATATATAATAACGTGTCAAGTATTGTGAGACGGACATAAATGAAAAACTATGTCAAATATTATGGGAATGAGGGAGCATAAAATACTAATATTAACTAGACTTGGTAACATTGATACATACTCCTCATTTGATTATTTGATCCTAAAATAATTGATTTAAATCAAATTTGACCTCAAACGACTATGTACTTATAATGAGTTCAATAATAATAATAATAATAATAATAATAATAATAATAATAATAATAATAATTATAATAAAATTAATAATAATAATAAGAATTGAACTGAACTTATTGGAGCTGAATAAAATTGAAAATAAGCTGAAGAGAACAGGCCAAAAATTTGAAACTACATTGACCCAATTCAACTCAAAATTCAACCTAATTGTAGAATACATAGACTTGAAATGGCCTGATTCAAATAAACTAAACTCAAAATGAATCTAACTACTCATTTGCCTAATTTGATTCTTATTTTGTTTTAAATAAGCTAGGAAGGAGAACCAAAAACAATAATATAGAGGAGAGTTTGTACAAGTGGCAGATCATCTAATGGAGGCTGGTCTAAGTAAATATTTATAATTAATAGTCAGAAAACTTAAATAACCTACTTTATATGTAAAAATGCTGTGATATGGTGATTAGATTTGATTGAGAGGTGGTGGAAGGCTTAAATTTTAGCTCTTTTAATAGCTTTGGCAAATTGTCGTTAGTGTGATAAGTACCAGGTTAAATAAGGCTAATGGTATACTGTTCAATACACATGCAAACAAATGAATAAAGAATAAAATAGGAGGGATGCCAAATTGAACAAGAATAGGAGTTCATTGAATAATTATTCTTTCAATTACTCCATGTATCCCTTTTTATTATTCCACTCTCATTTTTGATGCTTTTAAATTTACTACATAATTTAAATAGCGGTAGAATATAGGAAAATACAAGTTAATCTGCCAGATAAACAAATTTTTGTTAATCTGATGACATTTTTGTAAATATATTGAAAAAACAGGGTTATTTATTCAGTACTTTTAGTGAGCTGTCCAATTACTGTTTGTTTTTTGCTTTTCCTGTTTGGTGAGAAAATTACACATGTACCTCTCAACTAGTACATGAAAAGACGCATATACCCCTCCACTATTACTTGAAAAGACAATTATACCCTAGATAAACAAATTTATATGGGGAATTAACTGGGTATCCCTCGTAGAATATCACCTATGAGTACTTTATTCTCACTTATTAAGTTACTGTTGATCTCAAAATCCCACCAATTTATTTAGAATACAAAGAACTCTGTAATCTCAAACACAATGGAAGCAATTTGTAGTTGAAATCTAACTTTCTTAACATCACGTGCCAAAAAATTACAAAGAACGTGAAAATAAAATGACACTGATAGTTTCTTCGAAAAAAAAATAAAAATAAAAAATGACACTGATAGTGGCAGCCCAATTATTAAATATGGTACTAAGTAGTAAGTACTGTATAATTTAGCCACAAAAATCTGGTAAGTAGTAAAGTACCTCCATTTAAATGCTAACAAACGATATTGCTCTTCTTGTACATAAACAATAACATAACCCACCAACACAATAACACTAAAGCTTCTATCTTCTGCTAAGAATCTTTCTTTTTCCCCTTTTTTTTCCCTCCATAACAATGGCTTCTTTCAACTGTCTTTAAAAAGTGTCCTTTAATTTTTAATTAATTATAGTAACTGAGAAAATTTTAAAATAACTGTCGGTTTCTGTTTTTCAGTGACTGTCAAAGCTTATATTCCTTGTAATTGCCCTTTTGTTTATTTTATTTTAAATAAAAGTTCCTTGAATAATTTTGTAATTTTTTTATTTTCATTTTCACTCTCTAAAAACAGAATTTTGCAATTAATTAAGGGTTTTTATTTTTTTCTTTCTCTTTTTCTTTTAACATTATTTGAAATTTTATGGTTGAGAAAATATTAAGGTCTTTTGTCACATATGATGTGAGTTTTGACATTTTCCTTTGTTTCCTTCTTTGCTAAGAAATTATCAAATTATCCCAGGTTCCTTCATACCCAAAAAAAAAGAGGGTAGGAGCTATTTTTTGTTGGTAAAATTAGACAAAAAAAGTTGATTAAATTATCTTAAAATTTGGGTAATCTTTTTGTGATTCAATGGATTTCAACTATGAGTGGATTGTCCAAGCATTCGTTACATAAGCTGGGTAAGCTTCCTTTCAGCTTTTTGTAAATATTGTTCATGATTAGTAGAATTTGTATGTAGGATTGTTGGATCATCATATACTTTCATAAGTTTCATTTTTTACTTTTGTCTTGTCATTATCTTTGCTACTAACACATTTCATTTTTTCTCTAACGGATCCTTGACACTCCGACATGGGTATGGAAAATTTCACCTTCGACCAAAATTATGGATACATAGTTTTTTATAAAATAGCCGAGTTTGACACTTGGATATGTTATGCACCATGTGTTTGAAAATATATTTACTTGATTGATTTATTATTTACTACCTATGATAGTACTTGTGTTGCATAATCTACTATATGTTGCATTAGGATATTTATGTTACAATTGGTAGCAATTCAAACTTGAAGCACTATTTGTTCTTTGTTTTTCAGTGTATGGAAGCTCAAAATATTTGTTCATCTCTGAATAATCTAAACTCTGAGAACAGATGGCAAAGGGATTCATCAGACAGTCATTAATCTTGCTTCTATTAGTCGTTTCGATCCATAGTTCGATTTCAGTGAAGCTACAATCATCACAAGTAGAGGCTCTTTTGAGAGTTCAGTCAATTCTGAACTTCCCTTCTGTTTTAAGCAGTTGGAATAAGAAAACCAAGTTTTGTAATTTGGAACCGTCTTCGTCTGTGACTGTTGTATGCTATGGAAATAATTTAACTCAGCTTCATATATGTGGTGACAAGGGAGCTCCCAAATTGCCTCATAATTTCTCAATTGATTCTTTAGTCGAAACTCTTGTTAAGTTGCCCAGTTTGAAGGTTCTTACTCTGGTTTCACTTGGTTTATGGGGTTCGTTACCTGGAAAATCCGAGCAGATGTCTTCACTTGAGATGCTTAATGTAAGCTCGAACTTCTTGTCAGGAACCATCCCTGAAGAAATTTCATCTCTGACAAATCTACAAGGTATTGTACTTGATGATAACGCGTTCAGTGGTGAAATTCCTGACATATTCGGATCATTTCCTGTTCTGAATGCTCTGAGTTTGAGGAACAACTCGTTTGATGGGTCGTTACCAAAGAGTCTGAGCAAACTAAGTGGTCTCAGAGTTCTGACACTTGCAAATAATCAGTTTTCTGGAGAAGTACCAGATCTTAAAGGATTGAAGAACCTTGAAGATCTCGATTTGGAGAATAACTCGCTTGGACCTAATTTCCCTCAGCTTGAGAACAAATTGGTGTCATTGATCTTAAGAAAAAACAAGTTTAGATCAGGTATTCCTGCTGAAATTGGTTCATATTATCAGCTCAAAAAGTTGGATGTTTCTTTGAATAAGTTTATGGGTCCATTACCTATGTCATTGTTATCTCTACCCTCGATCAACTATCTGAACATTGCGAAAAACAAGTTTACTGGAGCGCTGTCCAAAAATATGGCGTGTAATGTTGCACTTAATTTTGTGGACTTGTCGTCCAATCTCTTGACTGGTGACTTGCCTGACTGCCTTGTATCAAAGTCCAAGAACAGAATTCTCCATTATGAAGGAAACTGCTTAAATGCGCCAGATGACAGCCAGCATCAATATTCCTTCTGCAGAAATGAAGCATTTGCCGCTGGGATTGCAACTTCCATCAAGAAGCGCGACCAAAAAAGGAAAGCAATCTTAGCTTCATGCATTGTTGGTGGAGTATTAGTCTTTGCGGTGCTTTTAGTTCTGGTTTTCTGGCTGTTTAGACGTGTTCATGCTAAGAAGAAACTTGATGCACAGCCACCTAGAGTTATATCTGAAAAGGCTTCAACAGGATACACATCAAAGCTTCTCTGTGATGCAAGTAAGTCCCAATTCTCTTATGCAACTACATCTGTATTCAAGTGCCAGTTTGTTAAAGACAGTACATTTGATAAATTTCTGTAGACGTGTCTAAACATCTATAATTGATCTATGTATTCATTTAATGGTATACAAATGGAGAAGTCTTGATGGTTGGTAGGTCTATAGCTAAGGGATCAAGGAATTAGTCGCCTTATTCTGACAAAGTCAGCAGAGTTAATTAGGCATATGATGTAGATGATTTTGATGATTCAAAATATAGCAGTGCATGATCTGAGCTCTGTTCTTAGTTCTAAGTTGACGGCTACCATTTAACAGCACAATGGTTAAATAAGCTTTTAAATCAATTGTCAAAGGGCAATGTCGAACCGTTTCCTGCCACTATGAATCCTATACCCGCCATTATATTACTGCCAAAAAAGCCGCAACATGAATAACAGGAAGCTCATAATCCTTGCTAGAATTTTCATTGGATCAATGTGTAACAAATTTTCTGCTCTTTCCGCAATTCTACATACTTTTATGAAAATATCACCTATGAAGATTGCTTGTTGGAGGATTATTTTTATTTATGTATTTTATTTAATTGTAAGTTATTAATATTGATGTCACATTCTTTTTTGACATTTAAATGAAGGATATATATCACAAACAATGAAGCTTGGTGCACTTGGGATTCCAGCATACCGGACATTTTCGTTGGAAGAACTTGAGATAGCTACTAATAAATTTGCTTCAGCAGCATTCATGGGAGAAGGCTCTAAAGGTCAGGTATGTTACAATCATTTTTCTGATTATAGATAGAAGTCTATTTTAGCGATTTTATTTTCGTTGGTCATGGGGTCTGATGTATGCTTCAACCTTTTCTGTAAGGTGTCTATAGTGTTAGGTTTTACTAGTGATGTGAGTGCAGGAAGTTTAACTATATTGAAAAGTTTTCGGTTTCTTTTTTTGTGTTGCATCAGATGTATAGGGGCCAGCTCAGTGACGGTTCTCTTGTTGCCATTAGATGCCTAAAGCTCAAGGAAAATCACCCTACTGACTACTTTATGCCTCACATTGAACTAATATCTAAGCTCAGACACCGCCATTTAGTCAGTGCACTTGGTCACTGTTTCGAGTACTACTTGGAGGGTTCGAGTGTTAGCAGATTATTCCTTGTATTTGAATATGTTCCAAATGGGACACTAAGGAGCTGGATCTCAGGTAACTGTCTACACTATCAGATATTTAGCTTCATTATAATGTGCAGATCAGGAGTGTCTTTTTAGTTTCATTATAATTAATTTTTTTCTCTTGGTGTGGAAGCTGGACGTGCTAGAAGAAAACTCACTTGGTCGCAACGTATAGCAGCTTCCATTGGAATTGCGAAAGGAATTGAGTTTCTTCATGCTGGGATAACACCCGGTATATTCTCAAACAACCTCAGGATAACAGATATTTTGATGGACCAAAACTTGGCTGCTAAAATCAGCAGTTATAACCTTCCACTGTTGACTGATAATATGGGAATGGTAAGAGCAAAACTACCTACTAATGAATAGAAAATCATACATGTGAACTTCATATTTGCTCGACTTTTACATTTCAGGATACTAACGGAGCTTCTACACAGTCTAAAGAGGTTTACAAGAGGTACTAACCCAGTGTCTAGAATCTTTCATTCTTGTTTTTCCATCCTAATTATCATACGAAGACAGAAGGCAACTAAAACACTTTCTTTATGTCTGTAATTGCTTACCATGTTACATGTATCGCCTTTTAGGATAGAGCACGAAGATAAGATGGACATTTATGACTTTGGTGTAATATTACTGGAGATGCTCATGGGAATACAAATTAAAACAAGGAGTGAGCTCAATGCTTTGAGAAACCAGGTATGTTTACTCTTGAATTATGTCAGTCCAAAGAAATTTCTTTGTTGAACTTGGCTATGTAACAGCCTTCACGAGGTTCTAGTTATGCAACTCATTATATTGCAGGTACAAGCGAGCCTTGCAGCAGATGAAGCAGCTCGTAGGAGCACAGTGGCCGAAGAAATCCAGAACACTTGCTCTGCTGAATCACTTAAGACAATGATGGAAATATGCACTAGGTGTCTGCTGAAAGACCTGACTCTGAGACCAACCATTGAGGATGTACTGTGGAACTTGCAGTTTGCTTCTCAGGTTCAAGATGCGTGGCAAGGAGGAGAGTCGCGAAGCAGCAGAAGCAGCTCCCCTGCCTCACCTCCTCAACTTCCAAAGCTAAGGTTCACCATACATTAACCAGGTTGAAAGAAAGCTCAAATTAACGCGGCTATAATTATACTTAACCATATAGGAAGCAAACTATCAGTTGCATCTCATTTTGTCAAAAGTATGTATCACATTGTTTTGTGCCTCACTAGAATGTGTACTAATTCAAAAGGACAATGTATGTGTTTGTGTGTTGATCTTGGACGTACTGCTGTTTGATTAATTTTTTTGCCAGTTTTTGATATGGCAAGACAAGTTTTTCCACATGCCACCACCAAATCACAACTTTATGCAAACTAATACTTCCTTCTTTCCTTAAAATTGTGTTTAGTAATTCAACTGGAGAAGTTTGCTCTCCTTTTTGTATTTGGTGACTAGTTGTACGTACAACAATATGATGCATGGCCGTGTACCTCATTCTACACGATCATGTTGTAGCCCTTTGCATACGAACTTATCTACACAGTTGTGTACCTTCTTCTAAATGACCGTCTGCGTCATGTATTATTTGAAGTGGTTGTTAGTCGGGCTGATGGGGGCTACATAAAGTAATAGGTGGTTTGGATTTATTTGTTTCCTTGTATTGGAACCTAATAGATCCCGTCAAAAAAAAAAAAAAAAAGAGCTTAATAGATACAAACAAGGGCCTCTTCATTGATGCGATTTTTGAAAAACTACAAACCTCCCCTTTGAGATCTGAAACAAATTTTGTTACAATTCCATCCTTCGAGTCCGGGTACATGGATTACGAAGTAAGTTGTGTATACTTAAGGGCCGGGGCGTTCGCCACCAAGATACTTGTACATATAGTTGCATATTTCGCTTCTAAGGCGATGTGTTCCAGACCACAAAACAACTATATTTTAAGATCATCAATCAAGTAATTTTTTCAGTTTTTTCTTCTTTAATTTCTTGGAATTTTTCCAACAAATTGCACCATTTGCATTTTTGACATAATTTACACTGCTTTTCAGCAACATATTATGATGTACATAAAAAGAATATTAATGCGTATTCGTGTTGGATTCATTTTGATATATACTTTTATGATATCATCAATGTTTTATAATTTTTACACTCAAATACATATTGATATATAAGGTTTGTGCATTGATATACATTTGAGGACACGAGAAACGTTAAACATAGTTATGCTTTACACACAAGCAATCAACCTGCATGGCAAGGCAGTTGAAGGTTATACAATTAACATGTTCTAGAAGACCATATGAACCATTGTTGTGGCTATACAATTAACATGTTCTAGAAGACCAATCAATTGTTGTAACAGTATGTAGTAATGTAGACATTTGTAATAATAGGAGATCGAAGCTAACAACATTGAGCTATGTAGATGTTTCGTAACAATGCAAGTACCAACATTTTTCTCTTGTATCAACGTCTATATATAGTAATATATATGAGCAAATATTATTTAGTAACTACTCATTCATTTTTGGAGAGTTTTTTGTGTCATAGGGAATGAATCTTTTACAAAAATAACAAATAATTGATTTTTTTTTTTTTTTTTTTTTTTTTTTTTTTTTTTTTTTTTTTTTTTTTGTTTTCTACTTCAAGTTGCATTCGATAACCTGGTTTTAGAGTACACAATTTTATTTCAACATTCAATTGTAGTTTGTTTTCCTATTTCATCACGACATCAATCTTATTATGAGCTAATGGAATAAAATTTTATGCATGCAATTTTCAAAATTTAAAATTTGGTCCAATTATATGCCTAAAAACTAGCAAATTGCCCTGATAATGCATATTTTTGTATGGTTAAAATAAGTAGGTTTAAAGCATAATAAAAGATATTCTTAAATCCACTCATAAATAATATTCCGTGATTCAATTCCATCATTTGATTTGATAAACAATATAGGAACATAATTTGTAACTCACTTACCTCGTATTCTCTCTGATCATTATCCATTACTTATTACCTTATTTAATAATAATATTATCGGAAAATACATATTTAGATGTAAAACGGGATGAAGATTTGAAAAATATTTTTGTTCTAATTGGTTAATTGCTAATAATGATTTCGAAATATCAAATTTTTTATCCTCCATTAACTAATGCAATACTAATGTGTTTGTCAATATCACTATAAAGAAAAATAAATTAATTGCTCGAATGGATAGTATTTAGAAAAATCTTTCAAAAAATTATTGAGTCAATTTCAAAGAAATGTTAAGAAATTTCTTTGGAACATAGTTGATGAATCGAGATACATCCCTAGAACCAATCGGAGTGTGGTTTGTGACCCTATCTCAAAAAGGGTCTTGGCATAAGAAAACTAAGGAGGGGAATCACTAGTAGAAAAATGGAGATGCCCACCGGTTCAACACCCCCATTTACCATCGGTTTTGAACCCTCAAATGCCAAAAAATAAAATAAAAATGCCACCGGTTCAAAAATGGTGGCAATTCTTTGATTTGGCACCGATTAATCGGTGTCATTTCCTTATTTTTGGCACCGGTTAACCGGTGACAATTATGCAATATAAGTATAATTTTTTTTCCATTTTTTTAACTTAAAAAGCAGGAGACACTTAAATATTATCATAATATACATAAATTACACATATATTCATCAATAAATTGTTAATTTACAATTAAAAAAAAAATCGTTCTCTGAATTGATTGAATCTGCAAAAAATTACAAAAAATTAAAACAAAATTGTAAATTAACAAAAAAAAAATTAAATCTGCAAAATTAAAACAAAAAACCACCCACAACCCACGACCCACCACCTAGAACCCACGACCCACGAACGAACCACCCCACCACCCACCCAAAACCACCTCACCAGCCACCAAAAACCACCCCACCAGCCACCTAAAACAATCGAACCACCCCACTAACCACCTAAAATGACTGAACCACCCCACCACTCACCTAAAACCACTGCCTCTGCAAATAATAAGCCAAAAATTAACAAAAATAGAAAAAAAAAGACACATACCTTCATTTGACCACACAAAACATTGAAGTCAGGTTTACGAGGCCGAATTCAACCATGAAAACTCTAGATGTAGAGTTTGCATGGTCGAATTTGACTTGAAAGCCTATATTTTCATTACGAGGAGGGGCGACGGTTGTGTTGCCGGTGGCTTTGAGGGTTGTCGGTCTTGGTGGCGGCGGTGGTTAGTAACGGTGGTGGTGGTGGGCTTTGAGGAGAAAGAAGAGAAGGGCAACGAGAAAGGAGATAGAGGGGTGCGACGAGAGAGCAAGAGAGAGAGGGAGAGGAGAGAGAAGGAGAGAGGAGAGGAGAGAGAAATAAGGGGTATCGTTGGGGTTTTATAAGGGGCGTTTTTTTAATAAGTTCGGTTCATACCGGTAGGATTATTATTTTTTCCACCAGTTTGGTTTGAACCAGTGCCAATACCCTTCCCTCAAAATCCCGCCCATTTTTTCCACAGGTTTTAAAAAATTGGTGGCCTTTGATCGGTGCCAATCTCTATTTTTCTACTAGTGAATCTTTGTTTCATGGCGAAGTTAGGTTGGAAAATTCTCAATCAACCTAAGATAGTTTGGGTTCAATTCATTACTTCCAAATATCTTAAATACTCTAATTTCATGCATGGACTGTAATCCCTCCCCCTATGCCTCCTCCATCTGGAAAGACATCCTTTAAGGGAGAGATCTCCTTAAGAGGGATCTTACTATAACCATAGGCAATGGGAAGGACACTTCCATTTGGTACCATAAATGGATTGGAGACTCTCCCCTTTACCTTAATGATCCATTAACATTCCGGACCTAAAAGCCCACAGGAGAGTTGACAACATAATAAGAAACAAAACTTGGTATTTTATGACATAGCTCATCTTCTACCTCAACATATTCTTACAAAAATCCAAGCCATCCCCCTCCCTCTCTACCACTCCCCCGAATGATAAACTTCACTGCTCCCTGGATAACTCGGGTTCCTTCACCATCAAATCTGCTTATTTTTGTAACACTTCAATAATTCTCTCTTTAAAACTGTGACTACCCTGAATAATATCCAAGAGAATTACTGACGTGCTATCGCAATGTTAAGGCTATATCAGAAATTAGCAGCAAAAAAACTAATTAAGTTATAAATAAGTTTCAAAACCAATAAACAAAACCAAATTAAGTCTTACAACTTGGAACCATACATTAAGGCCCAAAGTAGTGAAAGTAGTACAAAATGAAACCGAGTTTAAACTAATTCAAAGTAAGTAGCAAAATAAATTGTGAAAAGCAACCAACACTCCAATCAAAATCCCACCACCTAGATGCGAATGCTGCATGTGTAAGAACCTGTGGTTAATCTGCTCCCCAATATTACAAGTGTAAAAATTGGATCGTCACAGGGTCATTGAAAGGCAAAGACCATGACCAAGGAAAGACACACAAAACACGCAATTAGCAAAGCTGAGTACATACAAGTTGCAAAATATGATAAGAAACCCCTGGCATGCTACTAATAATCAATCATCACACATCATTAAATTATAGACTCAACACACAACTCAACCGTCAGTTTTACTAAGACTTTACTAGTTAATAGTAGTTGAATTATTTCATTTTGTTCATCGGATTAAGCAATAGACAAGGTTGTCCATCTCATGCTCCATTTGGAACATCAATAAAAGAATAACCCCATGCCTCCTTTCGGAAACATCAATAAAACATCCAACGACCACAGGCGCGACTCCGTAACCGTAGATAGTATGAGATGTCATCTAACTCATAATTCTTGAAAAGTATTTGAAACAAGAGACTCGTAGATCAGACGACCTCTAGAAAAGTGCACGGCTAATACCCCGTGTACCTAACCCCTGATTGTCATTACTCTAGATGTGCACCAATCCAGAGTTTTATTGCTCATCCATCTTGCACTTTACGTGATTTACAAGTTTAGACTCGGTGATGACTCGTTCATATGCAAACAAAACAATCAATCTAATATCCATTCAATCAAGTAAACCAATTTTCCAATTAAATTCTTGATATATTAGTGCAAGCAATGTTTATTATTGATTCCTTTAACTACCTCGGTATATAAACACCTTGAGTGCATAAGGCACCCCAAAATCTTAACCTCGTCTTATAAGACTTAAATTCCTCCTTTACTCATTCTATTTCAATAATCATGAGCGAGTAGTAAATAAATCATTCCACCAAATCACATACCTTTGCCTCTAAGCGCATCTTGAAAAATTAGTGCATAAATAATACTTGCAAAGTATATAGGGCACAACATATTGAAACCTCAATGTAAGACCAAACAATCATGCCTAGTCTTCTCTAAACATGATGTTTGGGTAAATATACCCTAAGTACGTGGACCAATTCGGTGATGACACGGGGCCCATTGAACGGGTAACACGTGTCACCGTAGGAAAATGCCACATACTAAGAAGCACAAGAGCACCTGAAACTTAAAGAGAGTGAGGCCTCCTTACATCAGGAGGCCCAACTACCCTTGAAAGACGCAAAAACTGCGCTCCAGGGGGACACGTATCCTACATTGATTACGCAGCCAATCAGAGCACACATTCCTAGGTCACTTAGGGCACAAATTCCCACACCTATAAATACCCTAATCATTGATGATGGGAGAGGGGATTGTGACATAAC